TTTTAATCAAATTATTATTATTATTTTTTTTAAATATTGTATTTATTTCTTTGACAGAGAGACACAGCGAGAGAGGGAACACAAGCAGGGGGAGTGAGAGAGGGAGAAGCAGGCTTCCCACCAAGCTGGGAGCCTGATGCGGGGCTCGATCCCAGAATCCTGGGATCATGACCTGAGCCGAAGGCAGACGCTTAACGACTGAGCCACCCAGGTGCCCCTCAAATTATTTTTTTAAGTGTTATTAAATTGTGTTTAGTTCTTTATGTGTTTTGGATAGTAACCCCTTCTCTGATATGTAGTTTGTAAAAATTTTATCTGCTCCATAGGCTGCTGTTTCATTTTGTTAACTGAGTAGCAAAAGCTGTGCAGAAGCTTTTGAGTTTGATGTAGTCCCATTTGTTGTTTCTTTCTTTTGTTGTTTGTGCTTTTGGCATCACACTCAAAAAATCATTGCCAAGACCAATATCAGGAAGCTTCTTCCTTCCCTTTCTTCTTTCAAGATTTTTTTTTTTTTTTTAATTTATTTGACAGAGATCACAAGTAGGCAGAGAGGCAGGCAGAGGGGCGGGTGGGGAAGCAGGCTCCCCGCCGAGCAGAGAGCTGGATGTGGGGCTGGATCCCAGGACCCTGAGATCACGACCCGAGCGGAAGGCAGAGGCTTTAACCCACTGAGCCAAGAGTTCTATGATATCAAGTCTTAGGTTTAAGTCTCTGATGGATTTTGAGTTAATTTTTGTGGGTGGTGTGAGACAGGGGCCACTTGCTTTGTTTTGCATATACTTCAGATTTCCCAGCCCCGTTTGTGGACGAGACTGTCTTTCCCCCAGTGGTTGTTCTTGGTTTCATTGTCAAATATTCATTGACTGGATATGCTGGGATTTAGTTTTGGGCCCTCTATGCCCTTCCATTGGTCTATGAATCTGCTTTTGTGCCAGTACCATAGTGTTTTTATTAGTATGGTTTTGTAGTATAGTTTAAAATCAGGAAGTGTGATACCTCCAGCTTTAGTCTTTTTTTCTCAGGATTGCTTTGGCTATTCAGGGTCCTTTGTGGTTCCACACAAATTTTAGGATTGTTTCTACTAATTCTGTGAAGAATGCCTTTGGTATTTTTATGGGAATTGCATTAAATCTGTAGATCCTTTGAGTGGTATGGCCATTTTAACAATACTTATTCCTCCAAAACATGAATACAAAATGTATTTCCATTTGTTTTTGTCTTCTTCAGTTTCTTTTAGTCAAGTCTTATAGTTTTTGTTGTATAGATCTTTCACTTCCTTCGTTAAATTTATTCCCAAGTATTTTATCATTTTTGATGCCATTGCGGTTTAGATAGTTTTATTTCTTTTTCCAATGCTTCATCATTAGTATAAAAGAATGCCACTGATTTCTGTGAGTTGATTTTGTAACCTGCCACTTTCCTGAAATCATTGATTAATTCCAACAGTCTTTTTGATTGACTCTTTGGGATTTTTTTATATGTGAGATTATATCATTAGTAAATAGAGAAATTCTTACTTCTTTCTTCCAGATTTGGATGCCTTTTATTTCTTTGCTTTGCTCTAGTTAAGACTTTTCCAATTCTATACTAAATAGGAATGATGAGAGTAGGGAACCTTGCCTTGCTCATGATCTCAGAGGAAACACTTTCAGTTTTTCTCCATTCAGTATAATGTGACCTGTGGGTTTGTCGTATTTGGACTTTTTCATGTTGAGATATGTTCTTCTATACCCAATCTGTAAAGGGTTTTTTATCATAAAGGGATTTTATATTTTGTCAAATATTTTTTCTGTATGTATTGAGATGATCATATAGTTTTAATCTCTCATTTTACTGATGTGACAAATTACGTGTTTGTGTGTGTTGACTCCTCCTATAGCCCAGGGATAAATCCCACTTGGTCATAGTGCTTAATCTTTTTAATGAATTCTTGAATTTTGTTTCCTAATATTTGGTTGAGAATTTTGCATCTATATTCATCAGGACTATTTGTCTATAATTTTCTCTTCTTGTGGTGTCTTTAACTGGTTTTGGTATCAAGACAATGCTGGTTTTGTAAATGAGTTTGGAAGTGTTCCCTTCTCCTCAATATTTTTAAAGAGTCTTATGAGGACTGGTGTTAATTCATCTTTAAATGTTTGGTAGAATTCACCAGTGAAGCTCTCTGGCCTTGGAGTGTCCTGTGTTGAGAGTTTTACTGACTCAATCTCTTGAGTCACGATTGGTGTGTCCAGATGTTCTATTTTTCCTGATTCAGTCTTGGTAGATTGTGTGTTTCTAGAAATTTATCCATTTCTTGTCTATATTTTTGTAGTATCAGCTGTGATGCCTCCTTTTTCATTTCTAAATTTGAGTCTTCTCTCTTTTTCCTTAGCTTATCTAAAGATTTGTCCATTTGTTTTTTCAAAGCACCAGCTTTTAGTTCATTGATTCTTCCTATTGCTTTTCTGGACTTTACTTAATTTACTTAATTTATTTATACTCTGTTATTATTGCCTTCTCTCTCCTAATTTTGAGTTTAATTTGTTTCTCTCTTTCTAGTTCCTTGAGGTCTAAAGTTAGGTTGTTTATTTGAGATCTTTCTAATTTCTGAATATATGTGTTTATTGCTATGGGCTTTTAGAACAGCTTTTGCTGCAGCGCACAAAATTTGATATGTTACATTTTCCATTTTTTATTTGTTTCAAGGAATTCTTTACTTCCCTATTGATTTTTTCTTTGACCCATAGGTTATTTAGAAATGCATTGTTTAGTTTCCACAAATTTAAAATCTTCTTACTTTCCTTTTGTTGATTTCTAATTTCACATCATTGTAGTAGAGAAGACAGTTGGTATGATGTCAGTCTTCTTAAATTTGCTGAAATTAGTTTCATGGTCTCTCATGTGATCTGTTCTGGAAAATATTCCATGTGTGCTTAAGAAAAATGTGTATTCTGCTGCTATTGGATAGAATGTTTTATATATATATATAAAGTCATGAAATTCTTATATTCTGTGTTTTGGAAATGAAGTCTGATGATACAAGAAGCATGTATGTTTGGGGCTTGGAAGTCTCAATTACTGTGAGGTCCCTCCAACTTCTTATCTCTCTGACATAGATTCTCAACCATCTGCTCCTGGCCCTGTGGCCCCTGCCTGGCCTCCAGCTCCATCTCCCTGACCCTGTCCCATCATTGCTACTGTTCTCTCGCTGGTATGGTGATTGGGTCTGTCACCAGGGAAGGCCTGTGTTCCATCTTTACCCTCCTCCCCTATGGGTTTGTGAATGCAGACAAGGAGAGGATCAGGATGCAGTATGTACCCTGCTGAATCTTGAGGTGAGGCAAAAAGGAAGGCATCTTTAACCAGGCTGGTAGCACCAGGGTGCACTCAGTGGGGGGCTTAGTGGGGCCTCTTGCCCACCTCCAATCCAGGTACCAAGAGCATCTTGATGGCATGGAGTTTGCAGTCACTTGGGAGTCTCCTGTCTACCATGATTTAGGACACTGGTCTATGGGAGGGGAGATTGACTTCCTCACTCTGGCCTGAGCCCCACACTTTCATTTTCTACTGGGCACCCCCAAAATAATGTAGCTGGCCTTGTCTTTCTTTGTTATAAATGCATAGACTGAACTTCATTAAATATGAATTCAGCAGATGGGTAAGTACTTCTCATAACCATAGTGCAAGCCCACTGCCTTAGAGAGAAATAACATAAAGATTAAGCATGATGATAATGTCTAAGATATGTATATTTTACTCATAATCAAGTAAAAAACAAAGAGTAATCAGCAAATTAACAAGTTAGAGTCTTATTTTGACTTCTGTGGTGAATAGTTCTCAAATCTTTCCTGGAGATGTCAGTGTAGGTGAAAGTTGTGTGAACTATAGGTCACTAAATCAAATACAAAAAGTGAAAATTAGATCTTTTTTTCCAAAGTCCAAATAAGTTCAAGTTTATTAAGAAGCAACATGACTTCAGTGAAGTTAGAGATTTTGAATTTGAAAAATAGACAAAATATTGCTGTGCCTGGGTGGCTCAGCTGGTTAAGCTTTTGTCTTCAGCTCAGGTCACGATCCCGGGGTCCTGGGGTCAAGCCCTGTGTCCAGCTCCCTGCTCAGTGAGGAGTCTGCTTCTCTTTCCCTCTGCTCCCCTCCTCCACTTGTGCACATGTGCTCTCTTTCTCTCATTTTCTCATGGGCGAGCTCTTGCTCTTTCAAATAAATAAAATCTAAAAAAAAAAATCATAAACTTTAAAAATAGACAAAGTATTATAACAAATGCCAGAAGTACTTAAAACATGCTAACAATGATCTTGATAATTGATTCCATTGTGTCTAGAATAGCTTTCTATTAGTATTTACCTGGACGATAAATAATGTCCCTCTAGTAAGCTGATTGCCATTTCCTACTTCCAAATCACAGAAAATATTAGCATGAAACGTGTCCAATAAGTTACTTTAAAAAATTATTACAAACATCTTAAACATTTAAGTAACTGCATTGCATTTTATTTTTATGACTCAGGTTTTGTAAGACACACACTAATCAAGTTGGGTTGATATTGCTGCTCTCCAGCTAGAAAAGGCCAATGAGTTGTGACTCTCTAGAAACCTACCTTCCATTTGGTGTATCAGGGCCTACATTCTTGGGATCCCTCTTTGTTTCACTGACCAATGGCTTGGCAGTGATTATAGAAAATAACAAGTTCACACGGGAGAAGATGACTATATCCACCTGTCCTGAGATCCGAGGAGTGGCTTCATGCTCAGCCAGTAGCTCTTGCCTGACATCCCAGTTGCAAAGAGAACAGTGCTGCCTCCCTCTGCTTTCCAAACTTTCCAAATACTTTTTGAGAAGTCTTGGATTCCAAGCTGTGCTTGATGTCCATCTTATCCGAGGAGTTTTGGGTGTGAACACCATGGTGGACACACAGTGGGGGGTTTAACCTTGATCTTCCACACCCATGGCCTGGTCCTGACATTGACCAGAATGCTATAATCAGCTTGTCTTCTCGTAGGTGCCTCACTCCTGATGCAGAAGCCCGCCCAGATATTGTAGAAGTCAGCTCAATGATATCAGACGTCATGATGAAGTATTTAGACAACTTGTCTACATCCCAGCTGGCTTTGGAGAAGAAGCTGGAACGGGAACGGAAGCGTACACAGAGGTACTTTATGGAAGCCAACCGGAATGCTGTCACATGTCACCATGAGCTGGCTCTGTTATGTCATGTAAGTGCACAGCTGTCAGTGTCTTCATGATGTACCCCATTATAAGGTCACCTGCAGTGGTTCAGGCTTGTCTTAAGGGAGGATTATCTTAAGTTAAGAAAATATTAATTGCTACATGCAGTATTTCACTATTATATAGTTCCATTTTGCATTCCTTTCTAGACCTTATAATTAAAATTAAAGTCAATATAAATGGCTTTCCAATGAGCTACCCCTAATTTATTGTATATTGCAAAACTGGCAGCATCAAATAGATCCCTTAGCAATTCTGTAAGTTTACATTATGCTCTTTGTGTAGATAGCAGTGAATACATAGATTTTATTTCTTTAGAAATCTGATTTGGGGAATATGGATGGAAATTTTATGTGTTAATTCAGAGAAGGAAATAATAGTTGTCTTAATTTTATAGTTAATTTTATAAATAGTTGCCTTAGTTTTAGTCTAGTTGTTTTTATTACTATTTGTGGTGGTAATAATGCTGCCATGCTTCAAATAAGAATATGTCCTTCAATTTTTCTTGCCAATAACCTTCAAATTATTTTGATATTTAAGTTTATTTCTGAGCAGAGCTTGAAAAAGGGAAAAGCTACAAATGTCCACATATGCAAGTGACCATGACAGTGATGCTCTTGTTGCTGTCTCTTGTTTTCCCCCATGTGCTTTTGTTGTATCATGACCCATGATCCATTCTTTGCTCATACTCTGGGCTCCCCCAAGCGGGGATCAAGTCAGGGACCCTTCAACCTGGTACATATTCTTTTCTTCCCTCTTGGGCATGGGATCCAAGGAAATGGAAATAGTCCTAACACCCATTCTTTTTTTTTTTTCTATTTTTAAAGATTTTATTTATTTATTTGACAGAGAGAGAGAGAGAGAGAGAGAGAGATCACAAGCAGGCAGAGCGGCAGGCAGAGAGAAAGGGGAAAGCAGGCTTCCCGCTGAGCAGAGAGCCCAATGCGGGGCTCGATCCCAGAACCCTGAGACCATGACCTGAGCCGAAGGCAGAGGCTTAACCCTCTGAGCCACCCAGGCGCCCCCATAACACCCATTCTTAATCAAGGTACTTGGTCATCAAATTCCTTTCCAGGACCCTAAAGACCTGTTCTACCTCAGCTGGGAAAATAATATGAAGAGTTCATTTTAAAGAAGAGACAGCTATAATTTCTTTTCCTTCCTTCCTTCCTTCCATCCTCCCTCCCTCCCTTCCATCCTCCTTGCCTCCCTCCCTTCCTCTGATTTCTTGGATAACAACTTTCCATCAAACTCATTTCTATTAAAAGGAAAGCACTACTGTGTGGTGTGCTTGTCCTGACATTCTTGGAATCTGGAAGTTGAAGATTCAGTGTAGTTTTCTTTTGGGCAGGGAAAAACTCATCTTTATTGCCTTGCTGAGCCCAGCTGTAATTTCACAGAACAATACTTGGTGATTTTCTAAGGCCTTGGTTTGTTTAGGAGCATGTAACTTGGAGTTATAGCTCTTGCTGAACACAGTTAAATCACTTTTCTTGTTATTTTACTACCTGACTTTGTAAAAATTAGGCAACTATGAGAAACACACCATTCTATGCATGTCATGTTGCATTCAGAGTACAATGTTCCCAGGAAACTGAAATGCAAGAGATTTAGCCATTTCTATATATCTTAAGTATTTGAGGCCTTCTATTAAGTTCTGCACTGCAAAGCTACTTAGCCAATTTCCAGTTGGATACAAAAGAGTCAGTTTATATTAGATTCCCTTAGCTGATGTGGGGATGGGCGGAGTTAGTTTAGAATCTAACCACAAAAATCCTCTTATCTTTAGCTAAACACCTTGAGAATGGCTGTTTTATTTATTTATTTACTGCTCAGCTTTTTTTTTTTTTAAACTCTTACTGTGGAAAATTTCATGCATTTACAGAAATAAAGATTGTGCTTCGTGTAGCCACCCGCCAGCTTCAAGAATTTGCTACTTCAGGCCAATCACATACTGTTTTAATGCCCACCCACTACTCACTCCCTGCCCTCCGTAGGTTATTTTGAAACAAACCCAAACCACTATATCATGTCATCCATCAATATTTCAGTACGTATTTGGAGAGCCATTTTAACTGTAGAAATCCAGCTCTCAGGCCATGACTGGGTTAAACAAAGGGAGAAACCTGTAGTTGAGGCGGTTTCGAGGTTCTAGAGGTTCTGTACTCATCTGTAAATTAGGGGGAACACATTACCTATCACAGAAAGCACTAGGATTAAGTAAGTTTTATGTGTTTGAATAAACTGTACAAATGGAAAAGTGGCACAAAATTATAAGATAGCACCTGTTATATAAAGTAAGCAATGATTATGTTAAAAAAATAATTGTTGATGCAACTTGCTAATCCAGTATTAACTGGTCCATTAGTGCCAAATCCACGTGTGGTTTTCATGCAGTTAATAAGTATGTATTGAGCACGTGTTACCAGCCAGCCTTGATGCCCTCATGGAGCATCCAGTCTCATAGGGACCACAGAGAAGTGCTTTGTCTCTTGGCAGTTTATATTACTACGTTTAAAGAACAATCACATATCGTCTCCTTTGGCACTATTTTATGTATACTGATCATTTTTCATCTCTGGATTAATAAAATGTTAGTTAAAAGGAAAAGTGCAGCTTTATTAAAGAACTGAGAAGGAAATATGATTACCTTTAATCAAAAGACAGCATGCAGTTAATTGGCATTATCCTTGCTAAGTACCAATTAATTTCTTTTTAAAAACATACATTGACACCATTGCTGATGGAAAAATTATACGTATAAAATTTTATGTTTCTTTTTTTCTTAAGTCTTGTTATAGTATCATGATTATTTCATTTCAAATATGGTGGAATGTCTCCCAGAGCAGTTAATATCAACAATACAATTACACAATCCAATGATAGGCAATAGTCAAAGGAAAGGGAAATTAGTGGGTACATTATGTAGAACTTTATGAATTCTCAGCACCGATAAGGAGAGCCATTGTGAATTGCTGGAATTTTGCAAATTAAGGGGCAAGCAAATAATTGATAAGAAACATTAAGGACTCCTGTGTCATGGGGTATATGCTACTAACTTTTTTACATATTAGCTTATTCTCAATTATGGCAATAGTCTAGTAAAGACAAGTATTAATATATATTTCAAGAGGACACAGAAATCTTCACTAATAAAGTTCATGCCTGTGTACTGTGGTTTAGACCCTAAGAAAGAGAAGAAAATTTTCTTTCCGAAGAACATTAAGCTGTCTAATTTTTATGATTCAAAATAAAGATCATGAGGAGAGCGGAGTCAAGAATAAAATCTAAGGGTGCTGGGTGGCTCAGTCGGTTTTTAAGCATCTGCCTTCAGCTCAGGTCATGATCCCAGGGTCCTGGGATCGAGCCCCGAGTCAGGCTCCCTACTCAGCGGGGAGTCTGCTTCTCCCTCTCCCTCTGCTCTTCTACCTGCTTGTACTTACTTTCGTTCTGTCTCTCTCAAATAAATAAATAAATACTATTTTTGAAAAAGAATAAAACCAAGCAGAGAAAAATAAGATGTGATTTTTACTTAAATATGTAATAATAAGTCTATTGTGCTACCGAGGATACTGTGGCATTGTAGTAATCAAAATCATGATTGGCATTTTAGCATTATGTGCAACATGTTAAATACACAGAAGTGCTGCCCTTTGGTTGTCATCTTGTATCCCAGACAGAAAAATCAGTTGCAGACAATTCTAAACCGCATGCTGCTTAGATCCTCACCAGCAAATGCGAGGATGAGTGTTAAAACCCAGCCTGAAAAATGTGGGTAATCAATAGAAAACTCCCAATTTCATTCAGATTAGTGGGATTTTGTGGATCCAACTGTAAGCTAATATTAACATTTGTAAATAAAGCATATTTCTATGTGTACAAATGGAGCAGAGTTGAATGTATCGGGGAAACTGATGGGTAATCAGTGAAAGAAGCAAGTTCTTGAAGGGTGAGTTTTGCAGGGATTCCCACTTCTCTTCCAGTGATATTTGACAGGTACTATTATCGTCACCATCTCTGTTTTAAAGCTACGTGATTCTTTCTTTCTACCAGTAGAGTGAGTTTTTTCAGTCTGGAGAACTTTCACATCCATAAGACTAACAGGGCACAAAACAAAAAGAAAAATTGAAAATACTTGCAGTTTATAGTTAATAAAAGAACAAAGATTTGTTGAATATCTTCTGAATGTAAGACATGGTGCTTGCTATTGTGAAGGTTACAAAAGATTATAAGGAGTGGTCGCAGTCGTGAAGTGACTTATGCAGTCTACCTGGGCAGCCAAGATATATATGCAGGAGGAAATCTTGGCAAATACCAAATGATATCTCTGGCTGATATAGTTTAGGGAGGCTCCCAAAACAAGTGGCCTTGAAGTAGGTAAGAAAGTCACTCCTGCATGGAAAAGAATAGTGAAAGTGCATGAGCTCCGGATATACCAGCCTAGCACACTTAGGGCTACTAATCACATTTCAGGAATGGTATTATTTTATGCTTTAACTCAAAAGGCAAGGAAACGGAAACCAAGAGAAGAGACTTTTCCAAGGTTTTTTCAAGACTTTTCCAAACTAGTTTTCTGGTTTCAGACCTTGGACTGATAGTTGGATCTCCTGATTTATAATGCATATTTTGGTATGCATAGTTTGGAAAGTCTGGGAAAGTAGGCTGGTACTAGATGGCAGAAGTTTGTGGAATACCTAATCATGGTATTCATACCTCATGTTTGGATTTGAATCTGGGTAATGTGGACTGAAACCTTATATTTCTCCAGAGTAATTAACAACCAAGTTATCAAACTGAAGGGTAATTCTTCCTTATCATCCATATTTCCTTCTTGAATTTTTTCCCCTGTGGTTTCAACCACACCCCTCCATCCTGATTTCTATCTTACGTCTCTGAACACTCTTTTCTTTTCTTTTTTTTTTTTTTTGTTTTTTAAAGATTTTATTTATTTATTTGACAGACAGAGATTACAAGTAGGCAGAGAGGC